ATATATATATTTAGCACAAATATCTGTAAATATATATATTTAGCACAAATATCTGTAAATATATATATTTAGCACAAATATCTGTACTTAGTGAATTCTCGAACTAATATTGATTTTTAGAGATGGATGACTGAACTTTATTACCTAAAGATCAATATTCTCAATTACTGACAATAAGATGGAATCTATCACAAAATTCTCACTTTTTATAAATGATTAAATCAGTGATGTTAATTATGTACTTATCCCCAAGGTAAACTTTCAGTACATGTTCATGTAATGTATAATAATTAAAACAGACTTTTATAAAAATTGAATTAAAAGAAAAAAAGAAAAATAAACACTGTAAAATAAGTCAAGAAACAATTTAATGTTTACACTTACTTCCCCTACAAATACATCAGCAATTATTGTAGGAAGAAAGATAAACTGTCAAGGGACAGCAGTTAAATAGCAGGTATAAAAGGATCATTAAGAACATTAAGATGAGAAGATAAATACCCTATTTAAAAAAAATATCAAGTACAAAGTCTGTAGCTAAAACCAAATTTGCACTCAGATAAAAATAATCTGTTTAACAGAGACTTGTGTCAAAAGGGATGCCCATTGACCAACATTTAAGCACTTCCTTTAGAAATCTATTTCAGATCGCCAATTGTAATACAAAAAGTACAAAGATTAAATAACTATTGATTATAGATAACTAGTTTAATAAATAAAATAAAAATTATACATACATAAATATTTCATAACCACTCCACTTTTATTTTCAAGCAACAAGCACATTAAACAAATAAATATATCAAAAGGTAATAAATGCTATAATCTTTAATTTATGATAAATTAGATCATACTACAATTTAAAGAAATATGTTTTGCCAATGGAAAATTAATAAAAAGGTAATGTTTTACTCCTTATCTTAATTCTGTGAGACTGGATGGATCTAAGTTATTCATAGGTACTTACTAAATTTAAATATATTTAACCATATGTAGAAACTGGAAGACTTCTTCAGCTAATAATAAAATATGAATTTATATGATTCTTCTTTAAAAGTGGTAAGTAAACCAATACTGAGAATCTTTTTTCTTTTAAATGGTGTTCTTACAATTCAATTCACATAAGATTGAAATTTTTTCTCATATAATCAAAATCATATAATAAGTAAGGATATAATACACATCAATTCTTCTTTGCCCAGGTAATGTTTGATTGTCCATGATCACACAAATTACATGCCATTTTTCTTTCCTCAATATAACTGTCAAATAACTAGTTAAAATAAGAAAGAACTTTAACTGTAGAAAAAAAAAAAAAAAAAAATGTATACAATCTCCAGATAAACAAAAATCACCAAAAGGAAAAAAGGGGAGGAGCGGAGGTAAAAAAAAAAAAATTTTTTAATTAAAAATCGATTTTTTTTCTTTGAAAGTTGCAAAAAACATTTTCCCCAACAAATATTTAGAGTAAATAAAAAAAAAATAAAATCAATGGTGAAAAACAATCAATTTCAAATTTGCATAAATAGTATAATCAACATGGCTTAGTAATTTTCTTTTGTTATTATTATCACCTCAGTCTCTTAAAAATGAGATTACAGATCAGTCCCTTCCAAGTGGAAGTTTAATCTTCTATATTATACATAAAAATTTCTAAATATTTACAATTCAACATTGATAATGTAATGTTTATACAGTAAGTGGCAAAATTCTATATCCCACTGAAGATGTTAATCACAAATCTTTCACAGAGGAGTAAATATTTGCATCTAAAATTTTTCAATAAAAAAAAAAACTAAAAAAAAAAACAACAACAAAAAACAAAGAATTATGTTGCAAAAATTCTATATCCGCTTGACAATCCTTCACTAGTTCTTGACTAAAATTTCCTGCCTCACTGATATTTTGCAGTCATTACAAGAGCCAAATACTTTCTCATTTGATGAGTTTTCATGGCAAAATCTTTTCAATCCAACCAAAGATGATGACAAACTGAATGCATTGTATCATCAGTTTGATCTCTGAATACAGATTCTCAATAAGATTCAAATCCAGCCTTTGAATTAGTGACAACCAGCTCAAAACATAAAATTTCTCCCGGTTAAGGCATTTATGAGTTGGTTTTGGCTCCTTGTCTTGTGGGATAGATAAAATTGTGACTTAACTGAAATGTGCCTCTCTATCTGATTCCAAGAGATTGTCCCGAAGAATTTGGTAGAATGTGATACTGACCATTATTCACTTTATAGTAACTAGTTCTTTAGGTTCAGATGCAGAAAAACACCCTCAAAGTATCCACCCATCCAACATATTTGACAGCTAGTGATATTTGCTATCATATATAGTGTTATGGTCCAGGTTAGGACCAAGGAAGAACAACACGAACACAAGAGTAGAAATAACGAAGGTATATTACATGAAATAATAATACAAGATGTGGAAGGTGTTAGTATGACTGTCAGTCTGGTTTGGAGTGAACTACAATCGGCTCAACTTGATTCAACCCTCTCTCTTGAGAGACGTAGTATACATAGTGTTAGGAAGAGTTCATTCTGTAGTTATAGGTAAGGACCCATGACATATAGTAATAATCTCAACACAGACCTCCTCTCACTCACTAAACAGTACTTTCAATACAAACATCTGTCACTCAATGGTTGGTGAGATGCAATCTTGATTGTAAATTATAAACAGTGTGCTGTTTTCTAAAGCCATTCTTTTTCTTTCAATTCCTGTCACCTTTAGTTACCTTCAAAGAGAATTTCACAACATTCTTTTTACCATCACTTTTTATTCATTTGGTCAAGTCTCACAGAACTCTCAAGTTTTTAAAAACTTAAATTCAATATCTGTTCTTTCATTTGACCTAATCACAATACTGTTTACTGCATATCTCCCAAGTCACTTAGAAATGCTTTTCTAAAAGCTAGTTATATCAGAATATTTTAGCAATACTTTCTTTTGAAACACTACCATTCAATCCAATTTTATGTATTGTTCTATAAAAAAAAACCAAAAAAAAAACTACTAATGTGTATTTTAACTCCAACATCAGTCTGCAGCTCATTCAGAGTTACATGTATATGCAGTTTTCTTCCCCATTTTGTCAGTTTTAGCAATAGCTAAACATTATAAACTACCAACTACTAAACTACCCATTATAAACAAGTGAAATTAAAATTTGAGAAGTAAATAGTCAGCTTTGCTGCCAAAACAAAGAATTAATCTCTGGGCAATCTTGTATCTTAAATGTTAAAACATAACTCGGAGAAATCAAATTTACTGTTTGCAAAGTCAATTTTATTAAAAACTAGCAGTAGAGCCCGGTGTTGCCCGGGGATGTAACAGTAAGAGATAGATCAAGTATCGACCATCATAAAGACTGAAAAATAAAATTGACAAAGATTATTGTTTAAGGTTGACGGACACGCATGTCTTAATTAGTTTTTTTTTTTACGAATTCGTCAAACTCAAACAAAAACATTGTTTTCAATCGTTATGAGTCTACCGATTGAATAGAATTTTATTATAAACAATTGTCTTGTAAATGGAATTTTTAAAGCATTCTGAATGTAAAAATAAAGAAAAAAGTATGCAAGACAATAAGAAACACTACCTGCCAAAAAAAAAAAGTGAAGTTTTGTTGAAATCGGTTGAAAAATGTAAGAAATCCAATCCCAACACACACACAAACAACCTGGGTTTTATAATAAGTATAACTCGATATGAGTTGTCCCCCTTACATTCTCATGATGCCTCTTAATCGTGTTTTCAAATTGATTTTGTGCAAAAACAATTGTGTTTTTCCAATTTTGGGCGCTGTCAGAACCACCGCCGGGTAATTTTACGTAGTCCTGTGAAGTTTTGTTGAAATCAGTTGAAAAATGTAGGAAATCCGATCCAATATATAAACGTACAGACACACATACATGCGCGCGCACACACACACACACAATCTGCATTTTATAATAAGTAAGATTTCTAAAATTAATCTCAATCTTTTGTCAATGTTGGAAAAACAGACAAAATATATATTAGTGGATACAAAATTTTATCAGTTTGAGAAAAAAAACTGAATATGTATTTTGCCAAGTTTCCAAGCTACAGAACAATAACTTCATGGAGTGCACTGGTTCATAAATTTGCTGATATAGTAATTATGAGTTCAATCTCTGGGCCAGGCAGTGTGTACTTGGAAAACACATGGAAATAGGGAGAGCAATAACTGAGCAGTATTAAAAATAAGAACTAGACGAGTTATCTCCCCTAGACATGGACATTTGGAAAAGAACAGACTACTCCCATAGATTAAATAAAAGGTTCAGTTTGGAATTCCCTGTAGATTACCCAGGTCAATCTGAAGGGAACAATAGCAGAAATATTGTGATGAAGACAACAGTCCAAAGTAAGAAGGGCATCAGAATATATATTAAATGATTAAAAGAATTTTTCATTTTGATGTACATGAGAAATTGTATTTTCTAAGAGTGATATCTTTGACCTTTAAATGAAGTAATTTCTACAAATAAAATATTAACAGGAACAATTATTCATATATATATATATATATATATATATATATATATATATATATATATATATACACACACACAAAAGAGAAAATGTAAAATAAAGACAAAATATATGTTAAATAAAGTTAGTAAATATATTCATCTGAAATAAGATAGAACATGAAGTATGCAAGCTTGTACAGCAACAGAAAGAATTAGTTTTAAAATATTGGTATAGATTATTTTAGTGTCAGTCACTAAAGTTTGCATGTACTATTTTTAGAGTCATTCAAATATCAAAACTATAGCAATTAGAATAAAACTAACTTATATTCTTCTATGAACTTATGAACCACCTTAACTATGCACATCAATTTTTATAGCACAGACTTTCCAATATTTTCACTTGTGTGAAATCTTAATTTAAAAATAACAGTCAAATAAGAAGAAAAAAATACTGATGATAGCAGCAAATAAATGATCACTTACCTGGCCAACCGATTCAAAATGTTCATGGCTCTTTTGCAAAGCTTTGGCTCTTTGTAATGTTTTTCCAATAGATGTATTCTTTCTAAGAAAAACATCTCCATGATTGTCAAGCCAATCAATCACCTTAAATAGAAAATATTCAATTTATATAATAAAAACTGCTTTGAAAAAAAGATTTACAGATTAAAAAAAAAAAAAAAAAAAAAAAAAATTGTGGATATTTATTCCATAAAACAATCACTGTAAATTTATATTTAATCAAAATTCACTTCATTTCTAATAAGTGGTACATCATTAAAAAATATTTACTTTTCTAATATATATCATATGTCTAATCCAAAGATTTACTATTCTTGTGTTGGCTCTTCTAATGATTTACACTATAAGTCCTCATAGCTGAACTTCTCAGTGTTGCCATTTAGATGTTATAGGAATATGCTACATTCTGATATTTTTCTTTTCTTTGCAGATAATTGTTAGTAACTTGAAATTTCTCAACCCATAGTGCCATGCACAGAAGAAACTTCAACGGGGTGAAAAAATTCTTTCACATTACATCAAAAATTGAGATTACTGAAAAATTGGTTGGAGCTCCTAATTCATTGAATTTGAAAATTAATGAAGATTGCAGAATCTAAATGAAACACTAAAACTTGCACTTAATGATGATCCACTGAATACTTTCATTTCGAATGATTTGGATTATCAAGAAATCAAGAAATTCTTCCAATAATGGTGAAAATATGAAGGATAATGAAGAAGACTGGACCTCAGTAGAGAAATCTATTGATGACGTCATCAAATTCATGGAAAAAAAAATCTTTGTTCAATAGTACAGAATGTACAAGTGCACATAATTTGCAGAAATTTCTTACTTTAAGAAACCTAGAACAGCAAAAAGTAAACAAAATGAGAAAAGAAATAAAGACAATTGAAAATAAAACTTATTGAGCATTAAACATTACACTTAATTTTTCATATATTGCAATAACTTCTTGTGTTTTGTTAAATTATAGTTATATTACGCATGTGCCACATTATATGTGAACCTGTCCTTATATCTGAACTACTCTGAAGTTTGGACATAAGGACTTCTACTGTATTTAGAATTCCTAAAACTGCTTCTGATAAACTCAACCACTAGAGCAAACAGCATGAAATTGGAAATAAAATAGTAGTTACCAATAAAACTTAAAATCATATTGGCCACAAGTCTGTATTCATTTTACCATTCCTTTCTCTGATTCTCTATATGCTATGTCCCTTCAGAATGTGGGTAATCATACTTCTCCACAGTTTACTTTTTTTTTAATGCTCTAAGCAATACTTGCTCCTTTGTGACACTTGTTTCTCTAGCCATTTGCTCAAATTCGTCAAATAGCTTGCCTTTTTGAGATCTAAGAGAATGTTTACATTGCATGAATTGTATTACACTTACATGTTTAACAAAGTATCTATTAGAGATGGGCAGTTTAACTGAAAAAACAACTTTTTCAGTTTCATCTTCATACCATGAAACTGCATCAAAATTTTTTAAAACCGAAATCGTTTGGTTTAGTGCTATAACTACTGAGTGACAATATCTAAATAAATACTATTGAAAAAGACTTTCAGATGTTAATAAAATTAAATTTTATAAATATTTATATCATTGTAAGATAAAAAGTTAGATCAAAAATATGTTGAAAATATTTAATTGACTAGTTTTAGGAAATAAATGTGAAATCTATTTCTTGACAAAAGAAATGAAGAAATAATAGAAAATACAATAAAAGACACTTGGAAATCATAGAATGTTTTCACACAGAAAAAATGGAAAATACAATATGATGTCTGGAAATGTACGTGTTTCAGTTAAAAAAAAAAAAAAAAAAGAAGAGAGAAAAAAACTTTGTGGTAAAATTAAGTTAACAACAAAATAGTGAGCAAAACTAAAAAAAAAATAGTGAGCAAAAATAAAAAAATAGTGAGCAAAACTAAAAAAAAATATAGTGAGCAAAAATAAAATAAATATAGTTGCCAGTTTTGTCTGAAATGTAAGGCTTTTGTAAGTGTTTTTTAGTAAGCCAATCATGAAAAAGTTGTTGTAAACAAGAAAAATGAATGAAGATTTTTTTTTGTTTTAATATATAAATTTGTTTTTGTTTTTTCCTCAGGAATGCAACTAAATTAGATAGTAAGAATAATTAAAATAGTTTTTAATTTCACTTTTAAAATGTGTGTATTTCCAGATATGTAAGTCTCTAGTGTAAAATTGTTTTCTACAAATAAAATTGTTTCTATCTAGCGAATACACCTAAAATTAGATATTAAAAAAAATAAAGTAAGTTTTAATCTCGGTTTTAAAATGTGTATATTTTCAAAACTGAAAGAATTTTTTTTTAAAACCCAAAGTAAAAGTTATTTTTTTTTAACCACTGTTGTTCAGTGGGTGTTCTGTTCTGCCTATAAAATTCTTCTAAACAAGGAAAATTAATTCATTTTTTTTTTTTTTTACAAATATTTTTATGGTTTAATCTAATAAATATACTTATTATATATTAAAAATAAAATGATTAAAATAGTTTTTAATTTCAATTTTAAAATGTGTATATAAAAAAAGAACAGGTGATACTTGCAGATTTGGAAATATACACTTTCTAAAAAATGAAATTTAAAAGCTGTTGTGATGTAGCGGTTAGCACTAATCAGCCGCTAGACTCGTTCTACTGCTTCGTTATTCTCAGTGACCAATTATATGAGTGTTCACTTGTGCACATGCAAATTATGCATATTAATTTGCTAGTATCACTACATCTCTCTGAAATGTAAGGGTTTTATTCCTCTCGTAGATCTTGTACTACTACTCCTGTTATTTTCATCACTTTGCTCTACTTGTCTCTCTCCCATATTTCTTTCCCTGGGAGACTGTTATAGTGGAATACACCTATTCTATTGTTAATAGACTCTCCCACCTATAATAAGTAGGAGTAGTAGGAGTCGCTCAGGGAGTTGGTCAGTCAGTCGATGTCGGACGACCGTTAGTCGGATACTGCGTCATTACCTATTATATCAAGTTCCTAACGTTTTGTACGTCGAACCTATTTTAGGACCAACTTAGTACAAATACAAGCCTCCACTGTGAAACTACTCTACAACAGAGACTTAGATCTGTCCTGCGCTAGGCTGTAGTCATATGTGTTTTCTTGCATTATCTGGTCGTCGTCCGAACTTTCAGACTCATTCTGGCCCTCTTGATCCTGCATTATTTCATCTTCTGAAGTTTCCTTCTGTAATGGTTGTTCTACCAACTCATTATCAGACAGAATCGAAGACATTTCTTCGTTGTTTTACTCTTCCTCTTCACCCTGGATCCTTATTTGGTCTGCATGGGCTAATACACTATCGCCATTTTCTCTATTATAGCTGTATTGTGGCCTTTTTACATGATAAATTCTGCCCTTTCCATATCTGCATCTTTGTTCTTTTTGTACCACATTTTTTCATTTGTGGAATACGACATTGTTAGCAGAGCTCTAATCTGTCTTCCCATTAAAGTTGATGGGCTTTCTAGTCTTCCCACATGTGGTATTGTACAATAACTTAAAAGCAGCCTCGGTAGAAAGACTTCCACTTTTTCTTTTTGCTGAGAGCATGCTTTTAGTCCCTTTTTTACAGTCTGTACCATTCTTTCTGCTAATCCATTCAATTGAGGGTGATATGGAGGTGTCATATGGTTTACACCCTATTTTTTCTAACCATACATTAAGTTCTTCATCACAAAATTCTGGTGCATTATCAGATACCAAGGTTTTTGGTATGCCATTTCTGGAAAATATGACTTAGAATCTGCTTTATCGTAGAACTTTTCTTGTTTGTAACCCGGATTATTTCAGGCCAACCTGAAAAAGAGTCTACTAGTATTAATAAGAGTCCCACTCCATTAATGTATGCATGATCCATATGCACACAACTCCATGGCTCCACTTCTTTGGGCCACGCATGTAATTTGGTTTGTGTAAAGTTTCTTAATTCTTTACATTTTTGCACCTTTTTTACATATTCTCGACATCTCTTGAATATCCCGCCACCAAGCTTCTAATTTTATCCTTTTTTTTGTGTGGCCGCTACTCCACAGTGTATATCATCATGTACACTTTCTATTATCGGTTTTCTTTGTTTTTCTGGGGGAACTACCAGGTCCTCATTACAAATCACTCCATGTTCTATTGTTAATTTGTGTCTTATTTCTTTATAGGGTCTTTCCGCCCTAGAACAATTTCCCCATGAGTTTGTTCTTATTCTCGATACTATCCTACTTAGCACTGGATCATGTCTCGTTTCTGCAGCCATTCTATCTAAAGACAAAACATGAGTCTCTATCAAATGTAGGAATGAATCTTCAAATTCTTCCTCTGTTTTATCTTTTGACTCCTTGTAGAACCTCAATCTTGATAGTGCATCCACATGTGGAATTGAATTTCCTTTGACATACTCTATATCAAAGTCAAATCCCATCAATCTTATCACCCATCGTAGAATCCTTGATGTCGTGACTTTGGGTAATTCTTTCCTTGGGTTAAATATAAACTCTAATGGTCTATGATCACTTCTAAACAGAAATTTTTTTCTGTTAAAAATTGTCGGGCTCTAGTAGTTGTCCACACGATAGCCAATGCTTCTTTCTCTATGTTCGAGTAATTGAATTCAGTATTCATTAATCTTCTTGATAAATACATTATCGGATGTCCTTCTTGTGATAATATTCCCGATATTGAATGTTCACTTGCATCTGTAGTGAGTGTTATGTCCTTTTTTGGTTCAAACATTTTCACTACAGGTTTCTTTGACATAATTTCTTTTAATCTTTCAAAAGCTTTTTGCTGTTCGTCTGACCACATAAATTCACATTCTTTTTTCTTAAATTTGCAAACGGTTCCGTCAAGTCCGTGTATTTTGGAAAGTATCGCCTGTAAAAATTTACCAATCCCAAAAAAGACCATTTCTTTTTTATTTGTAGGTGTAGCTACTTTTAGTATTTTTTCTATCAAGGCTTGGTCTGGTGATATACCTTCTTTTGAAATGAAATAACCTAAAAAAGATATTTTGTTAGAATTGCTTATGCATTTTTTCTCATTTATTGT